TTTGGCTGCCTGCTGGGTTAAACCACAAGAAGTAGCAAATATAGAAGGAGCATGTACATGAAATTCCAGTTACTACAGTTATGCTGGTATCAAAATTTTTGTATGTGGTGTGGAGGAATCAACATTTGTGACTAATGTGTTAAGAGTATTTCAACATCCTTTCTTTCCCTCCCAGGGACAGGAGTCCTCTCATCCCAGATTCCGCACTTGGCCTGCTCTGTGTACCATATAACACTGAAAGACTTGCCAGCCATGGTCAGACTTTGGTGGAATAGCTGTGAGAAACGTGTCTTCAATGTTGTAGATAAGTTTACAAGCAAATATGTCAGCAGCGTGCTTTCTTCACAGGAAATATCTTCTGTTCAGACTAGCACACAGTTATTTAATGGCATGGCGGTTAGTAAGACTTTTTGTCCTTTTTTTGATTTACTTTGGTTTTTTGCAAACATTTTAAGAAATGTTACTTCCCAGAACCAGACTGTACTAGTGTTTTATATGATTGCATTTTTGTTGTTCTAAACAACTGATGAAAACATAATTTAGCTTGATATTGATATATTAAGTTGATGTTTATTAATATTATGTTTGGAAAAAAATAGGTTTTATGATGTTGGAGAAGTTGAGGAGGTAAGTGGAAGATACTGCTATCAATATACTTCTTTTTGGTTTATTAAAAAATGTTATCAATCAGTAGATTGAAAAATGGCTGGTAATCTCATTGGTTTGCCAGGATATGAGTGGATTTTTATTTTCTTTCAGAAAAGTGTTTTCCTCGTCTAAGAAAATTATTTAATGTGTGTAGTAAAGTATTTATGGTTTTTATATATATATATAAAAAGACTAGAGATGGTGCATATCTCTCTGTGGAGTTTTTTAATATGTGCATTTTTTTCATAGGTAAAAGCTCGGTCTGCGGCACGGGAAGTCATTGCTACCTATTCAGTTGATGACATATTTATTGAACTAATAATACAGCTTCCATCAAATTACCCACTGGGATCCATAACAGTTGAGAGTGGAAAGAGGGTTGGTGTGGCTGTACAACAATGGCGCAATTGGATGCTACAGTTAAGCACGTATCTTACACATCAGGTGAGTTTAGAGAAAGGCCCTAGTTTTGAAAACTTAAGATAGAAAAATATTCCTAGTAATGTAATATTATTTAGATCTGTATAATGGATCTTATCAGTAGATCTCAAAGGACTTCACAGAATTGGTCACTCTTACCATCTGCTTTTCTCCAGATGCTGAAACAGAGAGGTAGAATTATCTGCCTAATAAGTCCTGTTAAACCCATAGCCAAAGTTGAAAATCTAGATCTCTTAAGACATGGGCCAGTGCTTGTCCCATGTGGCAATGCCATCTCAACTAGAATTTGGAAAAAAAACCCCAACCTTTCCCCCTCCCCAAACAAACAAACAAACCACCCCCCTCCAAAAAAAAAACCCAGTACATTAAATTCTCTAAAAGATTGGTGGTTGCTGAAGTTGCATCATCTGTGGTTAGAACAAAACAAAACAGTGATTGAAAATTTTAAAATCCCCTTTTAAGTGCTCCTAAGTGCATTCTTTTCATTGTGATAAATGCTTGCATTTCTATAGATTAGACTATCATCTGTATTTCATGTGCTGGCTTTACAAATTATTCACTGCATATATTGCATATAATTTCAAATTATAAAGCCTTCAGGCTTATAATTTTCCTTCATGTGCTTATGAATAACAGTAATATATTCTGAAGGAATTCTACAGTATTAACAGCTCTTTTCCCTTTGTTAGAATGGAAGTATTATGGAAGGCTTATCTTTGTGGAAAAATAATGTGGATAAACGTTTTGAGGGCGTTGAAGATTGCATGATCTGTTTTTCAGTCATTCATGGTTCCAACTATTCTCTTCCCAAAAAAGCTTGCAGAACATGCAAGAAGAAGTTTCATTCGGCTTGCCTGGTAAGTACCTAGACTAAATTTTTTTAAATAGGCAAAATATCCATTTATAGTTTGAACCGGGAACTTCTATGGTAATACCATCAATTCTCCATTATGTCGTTGGAGTACCTGGGACTAACTGAACTCATAAATTATTTGTATGGATTTTCTACTAAGCTGTAAGGGCATGTAATGAGAGAGGGGTTGCTACACTTCACGGGTAATAACTATCCATTTTGTGTTCACTAAGACGTAAGTCATTACATCTACGTAGCGTGTAGCAACAGCATCTTGTTGTTATCGGCTCAGATATGGGAATAGAAAAGGTTAAATTTAAATTTATGCGGTATGCTCTTTAGTAAATGATGCTGATCTGGATAATTAACATTTAACTATATCCATGTCATCATAGGCATTGGTTGTATGGTTAGAGAGTATACTGGAACAGGTTGGCATCTGTATTGCCTTACAACAGAGGAATTATTGCTGCTTTAAAAACGCTATCTTTTTATTCTAAAATGAGACTGGACAAGAATTCCTTTGTGTCCGGTTTTTTAGAATAAAACTTTAGTATTGTGCGCGTGTGTAATACGTGTATATACGTATGTGTATATATATACATGCATACACACACAAGTGGAACGGGTTTTTTTTTACCGTTTCTTCTTGGTTTTTTTTAAAGTATAGTTAATGTTTTGATAGTTATATTTATTGGCAAAAAATGGTTATTATTGGTGATAAACCAGTGTTCCTGATACTCAGCTTGCATTCGTATATTAAACAGTTGTATTTCTCTTTCAGTACAAATGGTTCACATCCAGCAACAAATCCACCTGTCCACTCTGTCGAGAGACATTTTTCTGAAACAAAACGGTCTTTCTTCTTTCTGTGAGCTAAGTAATAAATGAAGAGGAGGCAATGAAAACTGTATGTTGAAAGAAGCTAACCTGGAATAATGTCAGTTGCTTTAAATTCTTGACTAGTGGGATATGACACATATTTACCTCTGGACTGTTTTTTGTAAGTTTGAAGATTCTTCTTTGATATAAAGAAATATATAAGAATAATTTATTTTAATTTGTATATTTTTAAGGTATTGAGATATGTTAAAAATTCAGAAATAATGCAGTTATGTCTGAAAAGTGGTGCTTAAGCCACAGCATAGTTGATTAAAACCTCTTATTTTAGATATATTCTAACATGGTGTTAGGTACTTAACCCAGATTATGCCTCTTAGAATGTAACATAGGTAGTATAAAGACTTGATTTTTGATTATAGTGCATTCGTAATAGTTCCTCTTATGGGGAAAAAAGAATGTTATTGCTGTTAGACATTAAGGCATGGAACTAGGGTGACAACCTTTTGTTAAAGCATAAAATTTAAACATAGCACGCTCTAAATTAACATGTTCACCTTTAACAGTCTCATTTTCTCAAAAAAACTCAGCCATCCAGCACCCTAAAAACATGAAAACTCAGAAGCTAAGTAAGTAGAGAGAGTACAATCATTCCTGCATGACAATGAAAAACACTACCTATTGACGACTGGCTTTTAAAGAGGAGGCATACACACTGATCAATTCTTGTTTTCGTTATTTCAGTTAATGTCTTCATTAGCTGGCAAATTAACTGTCACTGAATGTACACTGTAGTTCCACTGTCTTACAATAATATGGACTCTAAGTGAACATGACAGATTAGAATTTAATGCTGTCTTCAACTATACATTTTTTTCATGCTTTTTTTTAACAGCAGTAGCATACTAATATATTCTAACTTGGATGGTATTTGTGATGAATTTCTTTGAAAAGTCAATAAAAGGGGAGGAATAAGTTACTTTTGTCAATCTCTGTAGTCTATGGATTGCTGTCTCTTCCTCTGTGTGATAAACTTTCAGAAATTAATAGTATAAATTTTCAGATGCCAAGTTTGTAGCATATTCAATTGGCTGTACCTCAAGAGCTGTTTTTTTTAAATTCTGTATGTTTTCTCAAAGTTGGTCCCTTTTGAGGTGACAGCTCTAGAAATGATTTTTAGCTGTTTATAGCTTAAGTCTGTATTTTTAACAGGTAACAGTGGGCTTCCAGAAGAGAAATTTCCTGACATTTTTGAGAGAGAATGGAAAGGATTTAAAACTGGTATTGAAAAGGTCTAACTGAAAATACAGATTAAGGAGCAAGCTGTATTGTTTTCATAATTACTGATACTAAACCTACAGGATTGTCTCCGTTGCATTGCTTTGTTTCAGACAAGACTGGTTATTCTAAATGACTTAGTTGCAAGTTCAATAACTGATTTGAAGGCTAGTTGTGATTAACCAAGTATTGCTTGAAAAGAGACATCTTAAACTCTTCTAGCAGTCCCTAACTTGCAAATTGTCTACTAGGAACAGCCTTGTGGGGAGCTTTTGTCTTGGTTCTGTTAGAACAAAGAAGTGCAGGTGCTTGCAAAGCAGCAGTATGTCTTTTGACACTGGTACTTGCTGACAAAGCAATGCCTAGGGGTCTGGGCGATCAGAATTTTTGCTTTCTTCTTTGTAAGTTTGACGCTACATAGAAAGTCTGTATCTACCATGCTGCTTATTCTCATGTGCACTGAATGCAGCAATATGCCTCCCAAAACTCTCCAGAAACAGTGTTGCGTCCTTTAGTCTTCTAGGAGAAGGGAATAGGTGTGCCCCGGCAAATGCGAAGTGTACGTGCAGACCTCTGTGTAGACATAGCAAGTTTCAAAATTAAAAAAAAAAAAAAAATTACCTGGCCTGTCACTAGTTCCCAGTCTTCACCAGGATGATGGTAGCATAATAGGAATCAGTTCTTGCAGAAAACTCACCTATGTTCTTACTTGGATTGCATTTTGACAAGTGGTTCCACTAAAGTTGCGGCAGACAGCAATACAATGTGGCCAGGAGCATTGACTCATGATTTATTAAAGTGGACGCATATATTTTCTTGTCCAAATATCCAGTTGTTGGACAGTCCAAATGCAATCGTTTTTTGCTGAAAGCATGTTTGGTTTTGTTACACTTTCTGTTCTGATCTTCTGTTCTGATTTTCGTTATTCCGTCCTTTATAATTTAAAACTGCAGACACTGTTGAGCATTGTGATCTACTGTGCCAGATGACTGCCCTTTTTTATCTTTGATTACCTCTTTTAAAACTAATTTTTTAGTTATTAAACTAAATATATTAACTAAAACTTCCTTTGTTAAACTTGTAGTTTGATTCTATTACGTGTTTTGACTGTAGCTTAAGATTGTCTTTTGACGTTGTGACTCTTGCTCAGTAACCTAACTTTGTGAGCAAAAGTGATTAACAACATAAAACCCATAGAGCAGTCTAAGGATGACAGCATTTTGGTTCATTCAAACAGCCCTACGGCTGTAATTATAACCTCAAAAACCATGACTCTACATAAAAGCAAAATCGCTAAGCATAAAACCTCCTCCCCTTACAGTTTTGTACGGGAAAACAGAAAAAAAAAAAGTGTGGCTTTGCAAAGGGTTTGCCATCAAGTCAAAAAGGTTCTAGAAGTAGGAGACAGTCAAATTGAAATATGACTTCTCAGAACTGACTAGTTGGTAAGCTGCAAGAACAAAACTTTGCTTGAATTCTTCAATGGAAAACTGTGGAAACACGTTATTTCATAGATGGCCACAAAGTTTCCTCTCAGTTTCTCAACTTTGACATTCCTTAGACAAGTTAATCAGAAGGTAAGAATCAACAAAGTCCTGAGTCTAGCCCCACTTTGGTCAATGAATGCATTTTTTTAGACTCAGTAGTTTCAAGTACTAGAATTTCTTGTATATAGCATAAATGTTGGGCAACATCCTTAACATAACTGAGTCTTCCTTCTAAACCCTCCTACTGCTTGTTTGTCATCTTATTCATTTTTATCTATATAAAAACAAATTGACAGAAAAGTTACTGAAGGGGATGTATTAGCTGTATTTGAATTGTTGAATTGAATTGCAATGTTGCTCTTCAGTAGTCTTCTAAGCTGGAGAATGGTGACTCTTAGGATGTAGAACAACCACCACTGTATGCTTCCTCCTATCCAATCCTTTGTGTGTTTTCTTCAGGATGGTATAAGGAACAACTTTTATGCTGACCACTGTAAGTTGACTTTTGACCTGTATCAGTCAAAAGCAGCTTCTCACATTCCATTGTGGTAAATACCTCAAATGGTCTAGCTAGGTTTGCAGTAACATGTTTCTGCAAACAGTACCTACCCTTCTTATGTGTTATTCTGCCTGTCCAAAAACTCCTTTTTTCAATCTCCTAGAGAAGTTTTTTTGGGTGGTTAGATCAAAACATGGAAGAACTTGTGATGTTTGTACAAGCTGGGTAAGTACAGAGTCACAAGCTTAGTTCTGAAGTCTTAAATGGAAATGTCTTTTCAGTGCCTCAGCATCCTGCAAAAAAAGCCCTTGGACCTTAGTCCCCCATAAAAGAGCTAGCTAACGGTTTATCATAACATCACTTAACGTTTCTGTTGACACAAACCCTTAAAGGTCAGTTTCTTGGAAAGCATTCTCCCAGACATGGCTAGTGGTGCTGCATACCTGAACGGTCTCTACCTTTGTGCTGCATGTGAGCAAAACATCTTACTCATAGGGCTGTGCCCACTGCACAGCACACCTCTCATCATGCCGCTGGGACAATGCAGTATTAGAACCTTCTGTGGGCACTGGGAGCGGGAGGAAGCTGCAGAGGAAAGCTCTTCATCAGGGTCTAGCGGGAGGAAGCTGCAGAGGAAAGCTCTTCTTCAGGGTCTCGTAGTCAGGAAATAGCTTCCTGTTTTGGATAACGGATTTTGAGAGAGGACCTTTGTTCCACTTCTCTACATATTTTCTCATTATTTTCAGCTACCTAGCCTTTTTAATAGCATATGCTTTTTTCTCCCCTAAATACCTTCTCATGGATGAGAACTCTTCATCTAATCTACATCTCCATAGTAGTACCCTCCTTGTAAAATGGCATAAAAGGGAGCACAATCACCACGATATTTTGCCCAGAAGACTTCAGGAGAGTAATAGCTTGCCTTTGTCCCAGAAATACACTTACTGCATCTTTTTGTTCAGAAGTACACTGTTTCCTTACTATAGAAAAAAAATCAGTAATTGTGCCTTAGATACTGTAGATAGTAGATACTTAGATAGATAGATACTTAGATACTGCTGATTCCAAATACTCATTTAAACCCAGCATAGGTATAGACTAGCTATTAAAACAGGAAGAATTATATCAAGTACTTGATATATTTTAGTAGGCCACAATGACAAATATACAAATACCTATGTATAGAGGACAAAGTCTTTAGTGCAACAAGATAGGGTATTTCACAGTTCCCCCACAACTGTCCCGCAGATAGCCAGAGGACAACTGTACCTCTGACAACAGATAATAGCTGGTTAACATCCAAAATAAAAATAAATATAGAGTCTTGATCAGTTTCACTGCAGTAATCAGGAAGTGAGGATACACCTTAAGAAGGTGAAAATCTTGGCTTAAAAATTGATTTGACAACTTCAGTACTCTGTGTTCAACTTTCTGCATGCCTCGTATCTAGAAGGTTAAAAGCAGTTATCAAGACTTCCTAAATTTGAGGATAGTAAGCATCTCTTGTCCTGCTTGCCTGGAAAGTACGCGTGTGCCTTCTAAGCCACATTTCTTCATTGTTTCCAGAATTTCATCTGTAATTGAAAGTGCAGTGTTACAGCTGAGTTTATAAGGAATCAGCTATAAGAGGCAGTGCCAAAGTATCTACCAAACATAAGCTGTAAAGCAAAGATTACAAACTCTGTCCTCTTACTCTTTCAATTCAGTTATGAGGCTAATTTGTAGGAGAAACTGAGATTTGTGGCACCTTCTCCCAAAAGCTGCCTAATCAATCAGGTGTGAAAAAATAATCTTTCTTCTTGAAACTACTTGGTAACATATAGCCATTAAGCATTAGATTGGAGGGAGCAAGTCTGACTCTTTTCTCTACACATCAAAATGAAAGACCTCACGTTTCCAACTAAAGGCTTTTTGCCTTTTAAGTTTACAATGCCATTCTTGTTCATGAAAAAGGGTTGGCCTGGCTTTGTTACTTAATTCAGAAGATTTACAGTCACGTTTCAGGCTTGGAACTGTAGTGTTGCAGAGCTGCTGAGCTCAGGACCTACATATTACCATTTTCCAAACTAGCCTAGAGAGTTCTTAGTTTTGGTAAATTTGCTTACATTTTTGGTGTAGCTCACCATACGCTGGATGCACAAGGCATGAATTAGGAAAAAGGATTCCAAGAGGCATCAGGTTATGTAAAAGTCCCTCTGTAGATTAGACACCCACACAAACTTGACAGATGAGAAGTACAAGAGTCCACAGAGATGCCGTGGTTTCTATGAAGCACACAGATAAGCTCTAGCTGTAGCATTTCTAAAAAATGACCTAGAACACCTATATGAATTTCAACACACACTGTCAATCTTC